TGAATGGGGAGGAATTGCTGCTCTTTGTTGTCAGTTAGGAGATGATCTTCTAGTCCTTCCATACTGATCTCATTTTGGGTTATTCAAACAGACTTTTGAATTAAGAGATAAAGTTGTTTAAAAAGACTCCAAAGCTCTTAGAAAAACTTTGAAAATCTTTCTGTTTAAACATAATTCTCTCCTGGTGTCAGTGCTTACGCTTTGCAATGAGTGTCTTAGGTACAGCTTGAGCAGAGAGGTGCCCCAAGCGCCAGATGTGAGCTGATCCCCAGCACCCCTGACACCCCCGATACCGCCAACACCCTGGCTCTGGCTGTGGTCGGACCACCAGCCCTTTCCTCTGGCTCTCAGCGGGGTGCAGCGGTGGAGGGTGCTGTGCCTGCCAGCCTGGGTGGTCTCGCTCTGCCTGTTCTATCCCACCCCACCCCATCCCACCCCATCCCACCCCATCCTGTCCCGTCCTGTCCCCCCGCCCCAAGGGCAGCCCTGTTCTGGGGAGGGGGGGAGGTCGCTGAGGGATCATGGTATGGGAAGTACAGCGTGCTGGCAGAAAATCAGTGCTGAAATATAGCCAGCTTTACTCCCTCCTTTAAATAGCTCTTCTAAGACTGCCTTAAGGTGAAATTATTTCAGGTCAGGGAGCTCAAGCACACAGTGTAATACTGTTAAAAATTCCCTTCTGTTTGAGCGGTTGTGCCCCAATAACGGAGCTTCCTCCCCAGCATTTGTCTTGAGCTGCAAACTAGCTCATCCTAAATACAGCAGAATCTGGGGTTCTCCTTCGAAGCAAGCTCTGAGACATAAAATAAAACATAAAAAACTGCAACACTTGCAGTAAACCCACGAGAGATGGCAGTGCTGGCGGCGGGATTTTGGCCCATGCTTCACAGGAGCAAATACATCAGCTGGGTAGAAACAATAATCTTATCAAAACACAGGCTTTGCTTCATAAATACTTCCAGGCTGGAGTGAAATACGGCACTGCAGGAGGAGGGACGGCAGTCAGCAGAATATTTCGATTGATTAAGATGCCAATCACAGCAGGGCTGCTGTCATCTCACGAAGCACAAACAGCAACAGGTCCCAGCTCCTGCCAGTGCAAATGAAAACCCTTCAACAATAATGTCTGTGGAAGCTGAATCTCCTCGAGTGCTCCCTCCATTCCCCCTCGTTAACTGCAAAAGCCTCCCAAAGCACCTGCAGCCAGGTGGGGCTGGGGCCCCGAGACTGGCCGGGGGCTCGGGGGCCCCGGGGGGATCACTGGTGCCCGTCGGGTCCCAGCACCACGGCCACGGGCTGGGACAGCCCCGAGAGAGGGCACAGGCCAGGGTAGAGTCAGGCCCTGGGTGCTGATAACTGCAGGTAAACGTATCTAGCTTGGAGAGAATAAGAAACACTGGAAACCACCTGGAAACCATCAAATTATTAGAAGAAAATTGATAACCAAGCTAGCACAGGACACGGAACAGATTAAGTGCGGAAGGTAAAGCTGTTGGTTCATTCACATAAACCAGCCATCAGCGATGAATCTCTGGGTGGCTACATTGACAGCAAACAGCTTATTGAAACAGCATATTTATTTTGAGTCTATTATTTTTTTTTGGCTAAAGGGATGCTGCCAAGATAACAGGCTCTTCCTCCCACTAAAATAATAAAATGCATATTCAGAAAGTTTGGAATTAATTTCTGCGAATCCACACCTTAAGCTGCCAGCAAATTTGTCACAAAAGCAGCCTGTAATTGGAAAACTCGGCTGTGCCGTGGGCGTAGGGGCTGCCGGTGCTCCCCGGGGCGGGTTGTGTCAGGAGATGTCAGGGCAAAGCTCACTGTGGCAGGCGTGCTCGTGAGAACCTGGGCTGTGAAAAGCATTTATTGCCCCAATCTGGCCCATCTGACAAGCGAGTCTGAGGGGCCCCAAGCGCTGCCCCGGCTGCTCCCGCTGCGATGCGGGGCTGGGGGTCCCCGGTGCCGGGGCTTCACCCGGGTTTGGTGCTGGGCAGGGAGTGGGGCAGAGCCCCTCGGCCCCTGCCCCGTCCCACCCTGCGGCACCTCGACCTGGCTGTCAGCATCGCTGGGAGGTCGTGAAATATGGGGAAGGTGCTGCCGCAGCTGGGTCAGAGACCCTGGGAGACAAGGAGGAGCTGGGCACCACGCCGCAGCACCCCCAATCCTGTCTGCCCCGTTTGTATTTCCAGATAAGGTGAACAGTTTGTTTAAAAGCATTCCCCTCTGCTGACTGAGCCATTAAGCCCTCAGCCAGCCCCCTACGCAGATCGTTTCCCTTTTTCCCCGCTTGTTTCCGTGCCGGGAGCTGATGGCTGCTCTGCGAGGGACGAGCTGCACGCTCATCCCATCAGCCGTGCGAGGCAGCGCCTATCGCGCTACTCATCACGAAAACAAGCTCATTATCTGATCAGACTGTCTCTCCCCACGCATATATTCCCTTTATCTCTGTGGATCCTTTATGTGTGCATATGCTGCAGGACCTGCAGCTTCCCTCACAGACTCCCCTGTCAGAGGGAACTATTTTTCTTCCTGGGGAAAAGGTTTTTCCTCTCCCTTCTTCATTTGCAAAGGCACATTCTTGGGTTTGTCACGCACCTGTTTACTCATTGAATTGGTGCTTTCCTCATCCTCATTTGCTACAGGTTAATTTCTACATGTTTTTTATCTCTAATTAAAAGCAAATAAAACTTTTGCAGTGACACACATGCACAAAAAAATATAAATCACAGAAAAAAGTACGAGTCCCTGAAGAGGTGCAGAGTCCAATAAACCATGTGCCTGACCCGCTCCCCCGAGAGCCATTTGCCTTCCAGACCCCCAGTGCCATTTCTCCCACCCTGCAGCTAACAGAGAAGCTGCTGGTGTTTGCAACCGCTGCCCCCAGCCTCGTGCTCACTCACGAGGCCATCATGGTCCCCACCGTGCACCCCATCCCTGTCCCCATCCCTGTGCCCATCCCTGTCCCCATCCCTGTCCCCATCCCTGTGCCCATCCCTGTCCCCATCCTTGTGTCCATCCCTGTCCCCATCCCTGTGCCCATCCCTGTCCCCATCCCTGTGTCCATCCCTGTGCCCATCCCTGTCCCATCCCTGTCCCCATCCCTGTGCCCATCCCTGTGCCCATCCCTGTCCCCATCCCTGTCCCCATCCCTGTGCCCATCCCTGTCCCCATCCTTGTGTCCATCCCTGTCCCCATCCCTGTGTCCATCCCTGTGCCCATCCCTGTCCCATCCCTGTCCCCATCCCTGTGCCCATCCCTGTCCCCATCCCTGTCCCCATCCCTGTCCCCATCCCTGTGCCCATCCCTGTCCCCATCCCTGTGCCCATCCCTGTCCCCATCCCTGTCTCCATCCCTGTGCCCATCCCTGTCCCATCCCTGTCCCCATCCCTGTGCCCATCCCTGTGTCCATCCCTGTCCCCATCCCTGTGCCCATCCCTGTCCCATCCCTGTCCCCATCCCTGTGCCCATCCCTGTGTCCATCCCTGTCCCCATCCCTGTGCCCATCCCTGTGTCCATCCCTGTGCCCATCCCTGTGTCCATCCCTGTCCCATCCCTGTCCCCATCCCTGTGCCCATCCCTGTCCCCATCCCTGTCCCATCCCTGTCCCCATCCCTGTGCCCATCCCTGTGTCCATCCCTGTCCCCATCCCTGTGTCCATCCCTGTGCCCATCCCTGTGTCCATCCCTGTCCCCATCCCTGTGCCCATCCCTGTCCCCATCCCTGTCCCCATCCCTGTGCCCATCCCTGTCCCCATCCCTGTCCCCATCCCTGTGCCCATCCCTGTGCTCATCCCTGTCCCATGGATCCGGGGGTCTCTGGGGACAGCCATGTAGGGATGCTGCGGGGCCAGGCTGCGGTGTGGGAGCCACGACGTCAGCCACAACGTCAGCCACATCAGCCACGACATCAGCCACGACATCAGCCATGACATCAGCCATGACACCAGCCACATCAGCCACGGCATCAGCCACGGCCTCCGCTGGCCCCAGCGAACCCACGCGGCTCCTCCTCCAGTGCCCACGCGGACTCGCTGGTGGGAACCCACCTCGCCGGGGATTACACTCTGCCGGTGGATGTGCTTAATGCTATGAACCAAGACAAGCACAATCTCTCTTTGTAATCGAGTCCACCTCCATTTGGCCTGCATGCCTGGATATCACACACATATTTTCCTGATTAATTTTCAATTAATGGCCTCAAAGTCTTTCTGCCTGAGCAGTGGTAGAAAATTTTTTGTGCGTGTATCAGCATGAAAAATAGGACTGAATTAGCATCTGCTTAAACCCTGGTAGGTAATTAGACTGGAAACCACTGCCCAGGGGCTCGGGGTGGGTAGGAAAATCCTTCCCGTTGAATAACCCATCAGTGGGAGGAGACGGACCCTCCAGAGCCATGGAGCCTGGGGGACCCCCACCCCCCTGAGCCCCCGGCCCTGCGCTGAGCTGCTGCCCTGCTCCCCTGGCTCCTCTGCTCAGAGCATGAGGCTCTTTATCCCCAAACCTGCCTCATCAGGGGCCCCCGTGGGACTCCCAGCTGCTCTGGGACCTCCACAGCCTCCTGCAAAGATAACGACAACAAAGCTAGGGCCTTGGTTGAATTAATTTTGCTTCAAACCCAGCAAAAACTTGCGAGAAAAAGAATTAATTATTCACTAAGCTCTAAAGATAATAAAGATAAAATTAAGCTTGGATTTCGAGGTGGAAAATAGTTCCTCTCCTGTTCAAATATAAATTAGGAGTGCATATAAATGCTACACAACTTGAAATTCATTTTAATTTCTAAGCAGCCATACAATATTCATAATCACATAAGTGATTTCATGTTTCACCCCCGAGAAGGCTGTGTTGGCGCAGTAGGTAAATAGCTCCAGCATAAGACACCTGGAACAGAGAAGAGCTCTGCAGCCTCTTCCTGAAAGGAAGGTTTTTTCTGAAAGGATAAATTGTTCCTTCAAAGCTCTCTTTGGTTCAGAAGTTTATTCCCAAAGTCAGCCCATGCGAGACAAGGTTAAGAAGGAAAAGCCGCGTGGGTTCAGTGCACGGTGCTCAGGCTGTGCCGGGGCTGCCGGAGGGTCCCTGCCCCTCCCCGAGCCCCCCGAGCTGGGGGTCCCACCCCACGCTCCCGCACAGAGTGGGGAGCGGGAGCCCTCCCGGCATGCAGCCAGCCAACGCAGTGCTCGCAACGATAATAATGTTAATAAAGGCGATGGGATGGTCAGGGGGAGAGCTTGCCGGTTGCAGCAGTTAATTGAAAAGTACAGAGGAAAATTCATCCGGCGACGGCTCCGGCCCCGGCCCCGCAGCAGAGCCCTGCGCGCCTGCTCCGCTCCGCTCCCCCCAACAGCTGCCCAGGTTGTGAGCCCTCTCAATCAAGTGAGGAGGGAAAAAAATGATTTTACATGGGGCCCTGAGCAACAAGGAGCCTTTGAACAAACTAAACAGGAAATTGTCCAGGCCTTAGCCCTTGGGCCAGTTCGGCAGGACAAGATGTTAGAAATGTGCTCGACACCGCAGGCGGGGAATGGCCCTACCTGGAGGTTCTGGCAGAGAGCACCCGGGGAGACCCGGGGGCTGACCCCCGGGCTTTTGGAGTCAGGGATACAGAGGATCCGAGCCCCACTGAAAAGGAGATATCAGCAGCGTATGCGGGGGTTCGAGCTGCTTCAGAGGTGGCTGGTACGGAAGCAGAGCTCCTCCTGGCACCCCCAGGGCCGGCGCTGGGCTGGATGGTCAGAGGGAGGGTCCCCCCAACACCCCGTGGAGCTGGTGCCCCGTGGAGGGAGTGGGTCCCACCGGTCACACGACGGGCTTGAAGAGGGAGCCCCAGCGGCCCAGGAATCTGGGAGGTGACCACAAATTGGTTGTGCGGCTGGCTGGCATGAGGTCTTTGGGAAAGCAGGAGGAGTTATTAGCTTGGGAGAGTCTCACCTTACTGGGCAGCTGTTGCCTCCCTCGGTGTTCAGTGCTCGATCTCAGGCCGTCTCTCTCCCCGACCAGGACTTTCTCCTGCCTGTGGAGACTCCAGCATCTGCTCCCTGGTACCGGGGGGCTTTGGTCACCCCAGCACCCAGGGGATGGGGTCCCCGAGGGGAGCAGCCTCTGGAGCAGCACTCACCAGCCAGGCTCTATTTAATCTTCCATCACACAGGCAAAATTTTATCTAGTTACTGTGGCAGTTACCATTTGAAATGGGATGGACTATCGATTTTTGTCTCACTTCCAGCCCAGACATTTCCCCCCCCCGGCAGCCTGAGGCGCTTGGCTGGGCAGCACCGGGGCTTTGTAGGGGCTGGGGGCACTGGGAATGCTTCCCACCTCGCCCTTGGGGGTCTCGGGGGCCCCCCGCGCCCGGTGCCGCAGGGTGGCTGTGCCCTCGGCGGGCGGCACCCGTGGGATTTGCAGTGACACGTTCGGATCCAGCTGGTCTGGCTGCCGGTGGGAGCGGCGCGAGGCTCCTTCGCGGGGGGTGCCACCCAGCGCTGAAGCAATTGGTCTCTGGAACAGCATGAAAACAAGAGGAAAAAAATTATCTGCATTTTTGCCACGTATTTTTGTAAGTGTTGTGTAGGGAGAAAATAAATGTGTGTAGAACAAATTAGTTTGTCGTGAAGAAGCTTGCTGCTAAAACGTTAAGATGCAGATAACGCAGGGAAAGCTTTTGAAACCGAATGCCCAGCTGCACTGACAAGGCGATTTTCGTAAATGCTGTTCAGAACAATTTAAACAATTAATTTTAGCATTTAATGGGCACTTGCACTATCTGCTGGAGCAGAAATGAGTACGTGTTTTTCATTACCTGCCACAGTTCCCCTATTCCTCATCTTCTCACCACCATTCCCCGGGGGCAAAACAAGGCATATGTTAATTGAAATTGCAGCACAGCTGCAAAAAAAAAAAAGAGGGGAAAAAAAAAAAAAAAGTTTTTGTCAACCCTGTTTTCCACGTAGGGAATGTGACACTTGACTATTTACAAGCAGAAAACTGTCAGGGGACACAAAGGCTATTTGAGAATGAAAACAAACAAACTGCAGCCGCGTGTTGTGCGAACAGAGGTGGAAAGCGAAGCCGGTTTGTTTTTGCCTGGAGATCAGCGTAAACCCGTCCCTTGACCGTGGGGAGAAGGGAAGCACGGTTCGCGAGGCTCCGGCCCCCCCGAGAGCAGGAAAACCTTCCCCGGGCGTTTCCCCGGCCCTGCCGCGGCGGGGGCCGTGCCCCGTCCCGCCGAGCCCTGCACCCCGGTCCCCCGGTGCCCCAGGGCGGTGCCGCGGGCCCCGGCCCCCGCTCGCCGGGCGACTGCTCGTTCAACGCCGCGTCCCTCGCCTCGAGGGCGCCGTGGGGGAGGCACGGCGGCTGCCGGCAGCAGAGCTCGAAGCAGTTTTTAAGCCGCACGCTTGCCCCGCGCGGGAGGGCACGGCGCGGCTTGCAGGGACCTGCGAAATCTGTCACCGGCTCCTCGAGGAGGGACACGCCGTCCGCGGGGCCGGGAGCTGCCGGGCCTGCCGTTGGCGCTGGCGCGTCCCGCGTGGGCGGTGCAGCATCCTCCCGCGCCCCGGGCGCCACGCCGGGCCCGCAGCCCCGGGGCGGGCCGTGCCCCCAGGCTCCGGGGTGCTCCAGCTAAATTCGGGGCTGGAAGGCGTTGGCTCGGGGCTGCATCACCACCTCCTGCTGGCACCCCTCCGCTGTTCTCAGCAATGCTGCACAATGACTTCTGTGGCTCGTTCCGTGTGCCCTCCAGCCATTGCTGGTCCCCACCATCCCTGCTCAGTCCCAACCATCCCTGCCCGGTCCCCATCTTCCCTGCCTGGTCGCCACCACCCGTTCCTGGTCCCAGCCATCCCTGCCCAGTCCCAACCATCCCTGCCCAGTCCCCATCTTCCCTGCCTGGTCCCCACCACCCGTTCATGGTCCCAAGCATCCCTGTCCAGTCCCCATTGTCCCTGTCCAGTTCCCACCATCCCTGCCCAAGTCCCCCCTGTCCCTTCCTAGTTCCCACTGTCCCTGCCCGGTTCCCACCACCCGTTCTGGGTCCCAACCATCCCTGCCCAGTCCCAACCATCCCTGCCCATTCCCCATCTTCCCTGCCTGGTCCCCACCACCCGTTCCTGGTCCCAACCATCCCTGTCCAGTCCCCATTGTCCCTGCCCAGTTCCCACCATCCCTTCCCAGTTCCCACTGTCCCTGCCTGGTCCCCACCACCCGTTCTTGGTCCCAACCATCCCTGCCCAGTCTCCACCAATCTTCCCTGCCTGGTCCCCACCACCCGTTCCTGGTCCCAACCATCCCTGTCCAGTTCCCCCCGGCCCTGCCCGGTCCCCCCCCCGTCCCTGCCCGGTCCCCCCCCGTCCCTGCCCGGTCCCCCCCGTCCCTGCCCACCGCCGGACTCTCTCTCCGTAGATGGCAGCAGCAGCCCGCAGTGTGCACGCCGCGCCGTGTCTCAGTGCTGCTCGGTGAAACGCGGAGCAAACGCTGCCGAGTGCCCTGTGGATGCAGAGGGTGGGCTGCAAAATGGCTCCTGGCACGGGGCAGGGGTGGCTGAGAGGGTCTTGGGAAGAAAAGGTGACTGAGGAAGGAAGAAAGCCAAATGTTAGTTTTGTGTTCAACTGCAATTGCCTTAATTTGCTTGTTTCAGTAATGAGGGGCAGGCTCAGGAGTCCTTTTGCTCCTGCCATTTGCTCACTATCCAGATAGCATGCTTTCTTGATCTGAAAATGATTATTTTTCTTGACAAATCCTCCTGCTGCTGCTTTTTCTATTAATCTCCTTCTGTCTCTTCAGAGAAAAGAGAATTACAGAGGCTGCTCAGAGGCCACTTGCTCATCTGTCCTTGAACCTGGCTGGCAACCTGTTGTTAACAGAATTGAGCAAATAGCAGAGAAAGGAATTTCTACAAATATTCTCTCAAATATTTAAAAGCAAATTTTCATCTGGCAGCACTCGCGGCTCCTTTGTGCTCCCATCCCAGGAACGCTGCAGTGTTTGCCCTGAGCAAGCAGAAATACAGGAAGCATAACTTACGCTTCTGTCATCTCAAAAAGAAAGCATTATTTCTGACTAAAAATATTCAGTTTGAACAACGATTAACTGGTAATTAATTTCCGAGTTGGAGGAAGGGGGGTGGAGGTGGCCAATTCCCCCGGAGCTGAGGCCATGCGCTTTGGCGGCCGCCCCAGCGCTGGCCCCTGATGCTCGGAGCAGCGCGAGGTCCTCGGCACGGGCTCGGCTGGCAGGACAGACCTTGGGCATCCTTGTCACCACCCTGCCAGCTTCAGCACTCCGCAAGAGCCCTAAAAAATGGAGCTGTTTGGCAATTCAGACAAGCCAGGCATCCAGAATTTGGGATACAGGTTTAAAACCCCTATTACTTTCTGCTGAACACTTAGAAGAGACTAATCCAATTGGCCATATGGTCCTGGGCTCCCTCCAATCTAATTCACCCATCCCTTGGGCATATTGAATAGAAAAGGGGGGGGGGGGGAAATTGAAAAAATGTAAATCACATTTTAATAGACTCATAAAAATACACAAAGTGATGACCGAGAAAACTTATCAGATTTTATGGGCATGTGGGTTGCTCGACAGAATATGGAAATGCCACTCAAATGGCAAAGCTGCCCTCATAGAAAACTTCACAACATAATCCAATTTATGCCGTTCGCTAGACAGAGCAGCCGGAGTAATTCAAGCCGTCTGCATCACTGTCACCTCTGCTTCCCACGCGTGCCACTCAGGGCGAGCGCGAGCGGGTGTGCCTCGCTTGGCATGGCACAGCACGGCATGGCATGGCATGGCACAACATGGCATGGCATGGCCAGCACGGCACGGCACGGCACGGCATGGCATGGCACAACATGGCATGGCATGGCCAGCACGGCACGGCACGGCACGGCATGACATGGCATGGCCAGCACGGCATGGCACGGCACAGCATGGCATGGCACAACATGGCATGGCATGGCCAGCATGGCACGGCATGGCACGGCATGACATGGCATGGCCAGCACGACACGGCACAGCATGACATGACACGACACAGCATGACATGAAACGGCGTGACATGACATGGCACAGCACGGTGTGGCACAGCATGGCATGACGTGGCATGGCATGGTGTGACACGGCACGGCACAGCACGGCACAGCCCTTCCCCGAGGCCGGGCAGCTGCCCGCCGGCGAGCGAACCCCGGGCCGGAGGGACTGGCTGCGCCCCACGTCCCAGCACCCCTGGGGTCACCCCAGCCACGGCACAAGGCAGGCAGGGTGACGGGAACGGCGTCGGGGCAGCAGCTTCCCCAGCCCCAGCGGGGGCATGGTGGTGACCACCATCCAAAGTCCGCTCACGTGAGGGCCAACGGGAGGGAGGGAAGGTGTTAAAATAAATATAAAGTTTCTCTCAGGTCTGCAGGGCTCCTGCTCAGTGCAGAGCGACGGAGGGTGAGAGCAGTTACGGTCCCGTCTGGCCGTGCTGCCGGACCCGGAGCCGCAGTCCCGCCTGCGAGGAGGGGGCCGGGGTCAGCCCCTGGCAGGTGACATCCAGCCCCGCTCCTCGGCGAGCCACAGCCCCAGTTTGGATGCTCTCCCCCCTGGCATACCGGTGTTGCAGAGCTGAAAGGAGACGTGAGCGCGGCCTGGGTATCAAACTGGCCAATGCACAGAGGGGCGAATCCCTTCTCCTGGGACAATTGCCCAAAGAATGCAGGATTTGGCCAAAAATGAATATGCAGGAGTATTTGGCAAATGCCTCAAGATCCCATTCCCCAGATCTCTGCCGGCTGTACAGCTGTAGAATGTTCTCACCAACAGTAACATAGCCAGTGACTGTTGTCGGGAACAAATGAAATGTTTGAAGCTTTGACAGAGACGATTGTAGAGGAGAAAATAGGTGTTGTGCAGGTGGTTTGGTAAAGTTCACCCCTCTAATTGCTCTGTAATTGTTCTGCCTTGCAGTGGAGCTCTCTCTCGAGCTTGTTTGTGCTTGAACATGCTTGCGAAGAGCTATTTTGTTGGAAGAATTTAATTTTTGCCATTATGTTGTCCAGCACAGTCCAGCTCTGGGTACTTACCACCAATTATCCGTCTGCTATAAAGCTAATGTTGACACAGAGGTCCTCAATGCATCGACTCTGGGAATCTGCCAGGAAGGCTGGTTTCAAGCAGAATAATTAGTGTGCATGGATATACGTGTAAGATGCCCTTGAACTGATGGACTGTCTTTACTCACTGGGATGTGATCAATTCTGAGGTTTTTCTTTTAGACAAGCCCTTGAGTTTAATTCCATTCTGTACAGTAAGGATTTCTTGTCTGAAAATCACTTTGCATCAAGAGAGCCCTGTCTGAGCTCCCCCATTAGCTATTCTTTCCCCTCATCCGAGAGTCTTAAAGCACTTTACATGGATTAACTAATTAGCTCTCTTCATAACCCAGGCTTTAAGTTAATTCCCCCATGTGCATTTTAAGGACAACCTCAACCAACAAATCACACTCCCCCCCCAGCATTTTTCACCTATTGCTGCTGCAGGTAACACTGAAGCGGTTGAGATTAAAGAGGAAGGAGCCCCAGGTCTCACGGGAGGGTGCCATGAAAGCCAAGCAGACATGAACCCTGCCCGCGCACCCGTGCTCGCTGCGGCGCCTTTCCCACCCCTTGCATTTCCCCTGCCCGGGCCTGCAGCAGCTCTCCACGCCGGCCTGAGAGCCGGCACGGCTGCGAGCAGGGACGGGGAGCTCTGGGGAGGGGGAGAGGCTCCTTTAGCAATTCAGGGGCAAAGCAAAGCGCCTGGCAAAAGAGCAGCGGGAAAAAATCGAGAGCAGTATGAGAAATGAGGGGAGAGGAAAGGGGGGCAGGAAGATCCAGCAGAAGGGCGGCCCTGCTGCGAAGGAATCGATTTGGCAATGAAGGTGATGCCGGCTGCCATGGAGGGGCTCGCCAGGGTGAGAGTTATTTAAATTGCAGCTGGAACCGGGGCAAGCTGCACCTGGAGTCTTGGCCTGGGGGGAGTTTTAGAGGCTTTTAAATCCCGTCTATGCCCCCCGGGTCCCGCTGCAGCCTCGGGGCTCGCCCTGGGCACAGGGTAACACAACTCCTGCATCCCGGTGCTGCTCCATCGCGGCTCCTCCCAGCCCTCCGTGCTAACGCTGTGCAGAGGTTTCTAGCTGAGCTGTAATTTCAAAATTTACCTTTGA